GATATATATATATATATGTGTGTGTGTGTAGAGGTAATATACCTTTGTTAAATAATCCAAGTGAATCCTAATAATATAAAATATTAAAACTGATTCACAAAAAAGCTCAATGTATTTATTGTAACATTGCATATAAATTACATAGATAAAAATCCAAAGTTACCTCATTTGAATAGCTATTTCGACTCACAAGAATTTCTTTTAGATCTTGAGTTGATCTTGAGTTGACAAGGCCTACAAGGAAGTCTTGTTTGTCGAAATAGCTATTCAAATGAAGTAACTTTGGATTTTAATGTATGTAATATATATATATATATATATATATATATATATATATAGATAGATAGATAGATAGATAGATAGTTTTTTGACGCGGTCGTTTGAGGATAGATAGGCTCGATGTTCAGTAAGTGAATAAAGCGTATAACGTAACTTGAGTCGAACTGGTTAGTGAATGCCCAATATTTCCTTAGAAGGAAACGGCTTGGGCACTTCGACGTTTATAATAGCCTGTTTTCTTTTTAAGTGCTTGTCTCTTTTTTACGTCGAAAAGTTGCAGTCTATCACGATTTTATTTTACAAGGTTTTATTCATATTAGAAATACCAATAAAAAATTCACAGTTTCCTTTTGAATTTCTGATTTTTGAAGAGCTTATTTTGAAGCTAATTTTAAGGGGGTCGCATCATACTCGTAATATAGAATTAGTGTATGTACCGCTGGCCCTGGTTACAACGTTGATCAAACTATATATCCATTTACTGTAGTCCAATTAGCTTCAAAATTAGGTCTTCAAAGGACGTATGATACGTGAGCATATACGATAGATAGATAGGGAACATGCTGTGATAGATAGATAGATAGATAGATAGATAGATAGATAGATAACGAAGAGATTGAATTAGATAGATAGATAGATAGATAGATAGATAGATAGAAAGATAGATAGATAGATAGATATTAACAGACAGTGATAGAGAGATATTAACAGACAGTGATAGAGAGATAATGAGCGGATTGACCTAGAGAAATAGAGATATTCATAAATATATATGATCAGATTGTGATAGATAGATAGATAGAGAAAATGGGCATAGATAGATAGATAGATAGATAGATACAGAGAGAGAGAGAGAGAGAGACAGACAGACAGACAGAAAGAGAGAATGAACAGAAATAGATAGATAGATAGAGAGAGAGAGAAAATGGACATAGATAGATAGATAGATACAGAGAGAGAGAGAGAGAAAATGGACAGAGGTAGATAGATAGAAAGATAGATACAGAGAGAGAGAGAGAGACAGACAGAGAGAATGAACAGAGATAGATAGATAGATAGATAGATAGATAGATAGAGAGAGAGAGAGAGAGAGAGAGAAAATGGACATAGATAGATAGATACCGAGAGAGAGAAAATGGACAGAGATAGATAGATAGATAGAAAGATAGATACAGAGAGAGAGAGAGAGACAGACAGACAGAGAGAATGAACAGAGATAGATAGATAGATAGATAGATAGAGAGAGAGAGAGTGAGAGAGAGAGAGAGAGGGAGGGAGAAAATGGACATAGATAGATAGATAGATACCGCCGCGTATCCTACGACTTTTAAAACCTAACTTTACTTTTAAGAGGGTTGTATCATACACGAGATATAAAATTAGCGTATGTACTGCTGGCACCAAACTATATATGCATTTACTGTAACCAAATTAGCCTCAAAATTAGGTCTTCCAAGGTCGCATGAGACGCGAGTATATACGGTAGATAGATAATGACTGAATAAGTTCCTTTCCAGTTCTATTAGTACAAAATACCCGTGGAACTTCAGATATTGCCTTGTTAAATATTTGAGCGTGACAATTTTAACAAAATATTACAATAAAATTATAATTGCAAGTGATTAATTAAAGAAGAAAGAGTGTACAAATGAAATGATCTGAAATTGACAAGTTTTCTATTTCACTGACGCAGACGTTAAAGTCATGACAGCATTATCTCTTCTATGTTCCTTTTCTCTTCCTTTCTGTTTTTCATTAAAACTAGCTATCGTCTCTGATATTTCTTTGCCGTCTTTCCTCGCGATCAAAACAGATTGGTCCCTTATTTATTAAGTATTGGCAGGACGTAACGGTCGTGCTAATAAACTAACAAACTGAAGTAAAAGGAGAATTATATCAGGATTGTTATTTATTTAGTGCCGTTTGCTGAATGGCCGTAGAACGTGAAAAGACCAAACAAGTAAACTGGGGGAAAAAAAAAAAAAGCATTTAAACTTAAGACAAAGAAAAAATAAAATGTCAAAAATGAATACAAAGCAACTCGTAACCTCAATTCTTCTCGTAAACGAGAATATTCTGGATTGTTTGCTTGATAAAGAACCGGAACTTGTGAAGATTAGTGAACGAAAAGATGGTCGCCTTGGGCGAAAAGTTAATTCTCGGGAGCCGATAAAAATTCACCATCAAAAATTTTATTCTGCAACTTGTCACGAAAGCCCGAGTAAAAAAACTGAGGAAATGTCTTATATATATATATATATATATATATATATATATATACTAGCAGCATGGCCCGGCGTTGCCCGTGCTTGATTCAAAAATCGTACGACTCATACAGCAATCGCTATCACTTGAGTTAAAATATTTTAGCCCTTCCTTGCCTTTAAAGGAGTGCCCTTTGACGTGCTGATGTTGCTACATGCCTTACTTCTTGCCTATCTCACACAATTTTTTCTAAGCTCTATACTAAACATTAATCTGTTACGAAAAAAGATCTAAACAAAATGAACACAAAACGATCAGCTTTAAAAAAGGACTCGTAACTGGAAAAACCGAATGAAAAAGAATGTTAACAACAAATAATTTTTCACATCCAACCCAGTTCTGCGGAATCAGAATCAACGTTGAGTTTAAGCAAGCGAATGAGCCAATTGGAGTAAAGTGCCATGCAGATTTAAATTTTTCCCACTTTTGACGAATGCAGCTATCGATTTTTTTTGCATGCAAGCATGCTAGTTAACATTCGTGTCAGTCAGCTGTTGGCTTTCACGCTGGGCAATAGAATCTTCCTGCCTATTCGTGGCAGCCAGCTATTGGCTCTCGCGCCGGCCATTAGAAAATGGCCACAAACTACATGAAAACTGCCGTAGAAGCATGAAAAATCGATTATTTCCACTATCGATGGGAGTTGGGAAATGCAAAGTCGGTCTTGGTCTTCTCGCTAACTTGGAGCATGCGGAAAATTGCGGCCGTGCATTCGTTACAGACACACACACACACACACACACACATACACACACACACACACACACACACACATCCTATCATAGATAGATATAAATATGAAACAATTTTTTATTCATAAATTTAAAACATTTACTATATTGGAAAAATATGTGAACCAACTATAAAGAAATCATTATTTACCATTTTATAAAGTTTGAATCGATTGACAACTAGCCAATGTTTTGCCAACAATTCCAATATATAATATAATAAATAGTGTACATAAAAATCTAAATTGTATTTATTATTTTTGTTGTCACTTCTGAAGAACAAAGAAAATGGATGAATTCACTTTCATATGTTTAGGTTTTATTACAATTCTAATCAACACTTTTTAAAAGAATAAACATTGTCGAGGAGTGGAGGTAGTTAAAATAATAGCGGTGTCGAGGTAAAAACCATCCTTTTGACATTTGTTTTTTTGTTTGTTTGTTTTTTGTCTTGGCCTTCCCGCTAACTTGGAGCATGTGCATGTAAATTTTGGTGCAAATCCGTCTAAAATTGCGGCCGTGCATTCGTTACACACACACATACACACATTCTGCCTTTTATAGATAGAGATGTGTGTGTGTGTGTGTGTGTGTGTGTGTGTGTGTGTGTGTGTGTGTGTGTGTGTGTGAACATCCCATAGTACTAAAAGATAACATAAACTTAACATCCATATCCCATTTCCAGAAACCAATAAAACTGTCAAAATGACCAAGGAGAGAATTCGGAAAGTCAGAAATCTCCCCTCCTCTATCTTAAAAACAACTTAAAAGAGACCGTTTGAACAACACAAAGACTGACCAAAATTAACGATAAAAAACAAAACAAATGAATACTACAGATAAAGTTCACTTTCTTCAGAGACAGTCATTCACTGCTGCTAACCTGCAGGGATTCTTTTTCTCCGGATGATAGCCACGCTGGCCGAAACTAGTCGAGAAACCTAATTGAAATCGTAAAACAAAACATATTAATATACAACCCAGTGTGTCTGGAAATTTTAATTTTTTTAACATATTTTATTGTTCAAAACATTTATATATATAATTAAGTAATTCATCGAGTTTAAAAGAAACCTCAACAGAATGTTGCTATGTCCTGAGATCCTCGATGTTGCACAATATGTGGGCTTGTATGCAGGTCACTAACGACACATATGGCAGAGACATAAAAACTGATAACAGTTGGTATGACGTTTGCCTGATAACGTAACTGTCCATGTTTCAATTCTCGGTAGTGGATGCACACTGCTGATGTGTCCCAAATATAGGACGAAACGGTCGTCCAGTGCGTTCTGCATTCTTTCGAAATTTCTTCTGGACTCGATGAATTACTTAATTAGAATTATCTCAAATCCTTCTGATTTCTATCACTTGTATATCCTTGCTTGAACCGGCTTCTGATGCTCTGGATGGAGCGGCTCGGGGATAGTAGTCGTAGTTCGTGGGGGCACAGTCCTATGGGTAAAGGAAACTCGGATGAGTTCCACCACGGAATATATGATCGAGCGGCGCTATATCGAGTCTAATTCGCTATCTCTTCGTCGCTGAGGCCCATTTGCCCCTCCCCTGTGAAGAGATGCTTTTGTGCTGGACTTGAAATATTATATTTTATATTGTTGTGATTTTAATATTTTTGTGCTTTTTGTTTTTAAAAATTTTTGTCTCTAGGCTTTTGAATTTGTTTTTTCTTTAGGTGAAAAACGAAAGCTTTATTCTGGGGCTTTAGAAAGGAATTTTAAAGATGGCCGAAATGCGTCGGTCCATCGTTAAAAAAAGATTTATTTAATGCGTTTCTACCAGAAAAAAAATAATGAAGCCGTTCTAAGAACACACAAAGAGAGAGAGAAAAAAAAAAACAGGAAAATTCATCTTCCAAGGGTGGCCCCTATAAAAGTAAAAATAATAATTTATTCACCCCCGTGGTAGAAGAAAAGAAAAAAAAGACAACGTAAAAAAGAATGAAGCTAGCAGCGGTCACAACATGACGGCTTCAAGAAGCGGTGTAGCCGGTGTAGCAGCTGGAGAAGTTTCTGTCGTATGGAGTTCCCGACCGAAATGTACAGAGGACGTGACAGAATTTGTAAAGCGAGACACTGGGCTTTTGGTCGACCTCAACGCGCGGAAGAGGATGTTGCTGCTTTTTTTTATGATCGACAAGCAGACGTATAAGATTAGTCGGCGCGTGGAAAACACGGTGATGAAGTCACTGACGTCTCTTTGAAACCCCCCAAAATTGTAAAAAGCTCTAGCTTTTAAATGTTGGACATACTATTGCCCATACCTGAAGAATGTATCGACGCGACGTCCCTGAATCTAATCACGAGGTACCACATCATCTGGACGGAATACCGGGGACTCTACCGGACCAAAGTAACGGTCTACGATATTCTCGACTACATTCTCGGAGGACTCTTGGGAGCATATCTTATGTAGTATGGCCAAATAGTTAGTGTGAGACGGGGCGGTGGGGTTTCGAGTTGATGCTAAACAGGAAAGCTTTCACCTTCATTCCCAACAGATTGGAGATAGGCGGCAAGCATTTCCCCGTCATCTTGATGGAGAGAAATCCAGCTTGCTGGAAGTGTGGCGTAATCAGCCACCTCGCTCCTGCTTGCACGGGGAAGAAGCACGCTGAAGATCCGCCCAAGACCGCCCTGAATGTCCCTCGAGCAAAAACTACTTGTTTCAGGGGTCAAAAAGATTCAAACGGATCATTTTCAGAGCCCACATGTCAAGCTAAGAAAGAGAAAGATAAACAGGAGTGGCAGGTCGTGACTAGTGCGAGAGGAAAACCCCGACCGGCGGAAAAATTTCAATCCTCTGAAGCCCCCAGGAGCAAGGATTCTAGCAGTTCCATCCCCATGATGGTGGCTTTGGCCATCTATACCAGCAGGCTTCAGGAACTGAGCAAAAAATTCGACAACGGGTCACGAAAAAAATTAAGGAATTTAAGAGGCCAAAAGTGAAGGCCAAAAATCCAAGCCAGCTGGGTGGGCGCGAGGGGTCCGTGTTCTTCCACATTCGTGCCATCTCCCTCCCTAAAGTTCATTCCTCCACAAAAGAACCAAGTCGTCGACTGTTGGCCTTTCATTTTGTTCAGATCTATTCGTCAGGGTTACCCGCTTTCGCCGGTGCTTTATGATCTTGCGTTGAAGCCCTTCCTGCGCAAGTTAAATGCGGATACGGTGGAATTAACCTCCCCGGTGCAACCACCCCGGCTAGGTATTCCGCCTATGCCGACGACTTGACCGCGCTCGTGAACAGCAAGGTCGAGATCGACGAAGCCGACATGGAAGTCAACAGGTATGAGACGGTAACGGAAGCCAAAATCAACCGCGACAAGTCGGTTGGTTTGCGTTTAGTCGCGTGCGAGGGTGTCTCATTTCCTGGCCGTTGCACTTGGACGGACGGGTCTTTCTGGATACTCGGCGTCTGGTTTAGCCCGACCTCCAGTTGGAAATGAATTGGTTGGAGATCCGAGAAAAGACCGAAGCTGCAGTTCGTCTGTGGTCGCGGAGGAAGCTTTCCTTAAAGAGGAGGGCGGGAGTTTGTGTCTTGGACATCTACCCTATCCTTGTTTATCGGCCCTTAATACTTCCGCTCGACACCTCTTTTGCTTCTTGTGGGGTGATAAGGTACGTCGGCTGATCTGTTGCCTCTACCCGTCTGAGGACTGCCTAGGAATCCCCAAACGTTTCTGGACTGAATGTGTACCGAAGATGAGGGTAAAGGCTTCTTCTGGAATGAAGTGTGCGTGGAGGAGGCCTCCAGTACATCTCAAGTCGACTGCTTCTTCTATCACAAATGTCAACATATTTTGAATGTCTTCACACGGAAAGGTCTCTCCGACATCCGACTGTTGTCTCCTTAGGCATGTGTTAGTGCCGGTGGTGCGCTAGGGACACTCTAAGTGATGCGCTCTGTTTGGCGAGTGAAGAGTTTCGCTCTCTGTGGCCTTGGACGTCCACATAAGGTTGCCTCAACAACGACGAGGTCTCACTCACCTGGATCGTGTTGCGGAAGGCCCTGTGGTTTGGCCAAAAGCTCTGTGCAAGCAAGCCAAAAAAAAAAAAAGCAAGCAAGTAAAAAAAAAAAACAAACATTTTCTTCAAGACTATACAAAAAAATACCATTCAAACAGCACGATCATCAACTCCATTTTCAACTTTAAACAGCACTGTTTCCCTAGGATCAACAGATAAAGTGTGGAATATTTCCAAATTCAACTCACTGATGTTTTTCCCTCTTGAAACATGTCAGTACGGACAAACTAAGAAATCTGCAAGTACGATTTACTAATAATAAACGTCTCCGTGAAAAAAAACAAAAAAAAAAAAACAATAATACCAGATTTCTTCAAAAGTTCTCGCAAACAAGTATTCGACTCACGGTAACAATTTCACCAACATCAGCTCAACAAATTTACAAATCGACGCTTCCTCTATTAAAATCTCATCCACCCAGAGCAAATAAACGAGGCCTGAATTTAACGTGGAGCATTGGAAAATAACAAAATTTTAATACCAACTGCTTATACCTTTCTTTCTGCACTATCGACATATCTTCCAAGGCGTGCTACGGCTCTGGCCTATTAAAGAATAATAAAGTCCCCCATTGACAGTACTTGAGACAAGTACAAGTCAATTAGAAAATTTTATATTTAAAAATGGCAGGAAGTTTATTAATATAGGCATCATTCCCAACTTTTAAACATCAGACTTAAAAGTAAATTCAGTTTATGCCAAACAAATTATTAGATTCCCCCTACAGCAAAATCCGTAAAAAAACATCTAGCGAAGAGGCATATACTGAGACAATTAAAAAAATTATATTAGAAACAGCAGAAAAAAGATTAATATAAGCAAAAGATATTGTTTGTAAATTTTGAAAATTATACAGTCCTCCTAAAAAGTAAACTTAGTTTACGCCTAGCAAATTATTAGGTTACGCCTACAGCAAAATCCCTAAATGACAACAAGGAAAAAGACTTAAATGACATCTACGAAAATGAATTACATTAAGCAATTTCAAAAATGTTATATTAAATATGTCAGAAAATAATTATTACCAACAAAAGACATTGTTTGTAAGTTCTGAACATCAGACAGGACTAATAAAAAATAAACTTAGTTACGCCTAGCAAATTATTAGGTTACGCCTATAGCAAAATCCTTGAATGACATCTACGAAAATGGATTACATTAAGCAATTTCAAAAATGTTATATTAAATATGGCGGAAAAATAATTATTACCAACAAAAGACATTGTTTGTAAGTTCTGAACATCAGACAAGGCTAATAAAAAATAAACTTAGTTTACGCCTAGCAAATTATTAGATTACGCCTATAGCAAAATCCTTGAATGACATCTACGAAAACGGATTACATTAAGCAATTTCAAATATGTTATATTAAATATGACAGAAAAATAATTATTACCAAGAAAAGACATTGTTTGTTAGTTCTGGACATCAGACAAGGCTAATAAAAAAATAAACTTAGTTTACGCCTAGCAAATTATTAGCAAAATTCTTATAAGACAACTTGTAGACAGACTTATCTTAAACCACTTTGAATAACTTATATTAATAAATATCAGAAAAACCTATTAATATAAGCAAAAGAAGTCATTTGTAAAAGAAAAATGTTGCATTAAGCCTAGCAGAAAATGTTGGGTATAACACGTAGATATGTTATTGTACGCCGAGGAAATAAACTTTGATTACGCCTTGCAAAAGTAATAGGTTACGCCTAGCAAATATATTATTTTACGCCTAGAAAAAAAAACTTATATTACGCCTCGCAAAAAGAGTTATAATGTGCCAAGCAGAAAAAAAATCTTCGAGTATAACTCAGAAATTTCTTACAAATACCCATAGATTACGCCTAGCCAAAATATTAGCTTACGTCTATCAAAAACCTTACATTACGCTTAGCAGAAATCCTTAGAGTTACGCGTAGAAAACAATCTTAGGGTATGCATATCAAAACAAACGTATAGTCGCCGAATTTTACTTTATACAATTTAATTCCTCTGCATTCTCACGCCTTGTCTTTCTTCCAGGTGATTCATATACCATTGTGTTGAATATAGCCTTGTGTCAGACAAAATAAGACTTAACAAGTTTTTATTGCGAGAGGAAACGTTAGGATTAAATGCCGGCAGACACGAGAGAACAATTAGATTTCACCTTGAAGCACGCGATTGTATTTACGTTTCAGTAAAACAAAAGAATTTTTCAAAAAAAGGGACATCGTACCTGTTAGAGAAGATGAGAATTCAAAATTGCAGACGAGGCTTGCTAAGTAGACGCGATAATTCATTCAAAATAAATGGAACATTATCATTATTTTATTACTAGTTTTATTCCATCTTATTTTTGTTGCTTTTTATCGCAATACTCTGCCTCTATACACTCTTCATTATTACTATTATTTTATTACTAGTTTTATTCCATCTTATTATTGTTGCTTTTTATCCCAACTCTCTGGCTCTATACACTCTTCATTATTACTATTATTTTATTACTAGTTTTATTCCATCTTATTATTGTTGCTTTTTATCCAAACAATCTGGCTCTATACACTCTTCATTACGATTATTATTATTATTAGTAGTAGTAGTAGTTGTAGTAGTAGCAGTAATATTAGTATTAATTTTAATCCGTGATCCAATTCATTATTTTTAATCCCGCCATTGCGGGTCATCTTTCGACATTCGTTAC